GAGGGCAAGGAGCGGAAGCTGATGCTGCAGCTGGAGGCACGGATGAGAGAGAGAGAGAGAGAGAGAGAGAGAGAAAAGCATCGGACGTTCACTTCAAAGGCCCGTCGGGCCACCCTGTCTATTTGGGAATGAAGACGGCCACAACCAAGTGCGAGGGTCTTGTTCGCGAGGCAGGAGCAGGGCACGAGTTTGGATCGCCTCATCTTCACGCCGCCGCTGCTCTCCTGTCAACTCTCGCGTCAACCAACATGGAGGGCAAAAACGACGAGGTACAGTGCGTGTTCTTGGCCATGAAGCGTCTGGACAAGGCTCGAGAGGAATCCAGCCCCGCCGACTTCGAAGATCGGTGCATCACGTGCAGGGCCAGCGAGATGCAGACCAAGCAAGGAGGAGCACCTCAGTCCCGATTGGCCTTCAACTTCAACGGACACTGGCCCGTCGGGCGAACTCTCGCACAGGAGCAGCAGATGCCAAAAATGAAGTACCATCCGCAGGAGCTGAACACGGCAGACGGACACATGCGGGTGACGGTGAACAGAGTAGTATCATTGGCGTTGCGAGCGACGGGCTTGACGAAGCTTCCAGGCAAGGCTCCGATCGGCGGACTGGCCTATTCGCTGCGCAGTGCCTAGAACCAGAACACCCTCGCGGTAGAGAACGAGGCAGGCCCCCGTGTGTGAGGCAGCGTGAGCAGCAGGCAGTGAGTAGTTTGATTCAGGGAGTTCCCTCCCCTCCTCGTCCTCCTCCCCCTGGCGCCCTGCCTTCTCTTGCCTATCTCAGATCCCTCAGCGTGAGACCGTGGGAGGACAGGCTGGAGGCCCTACGTGCTAGAGCGAGGCTAAGAGAATTAACCCGTAATTCAACGTAGAGCTACCCCCGCGCCACGGGGCCACTGCCTGCGTTGCGCGCAAAGGCAGCGGTCTCTGGCCTTGCGTCCCCTTTTCAGTCCCGAAGGCCCCTTGGTAAACTATAAATCCAGGCTCTGCGATGCCCACGAGCAGATAGCTTTGCTAGCTGATATGGACATCGATGCAGATAGCAGCAGCAGCAGCAGCTCCTCCTCCTCCGCCTCCTTCTCATCCTCTCCATCCTCCTCCCCTCTATCATCCTGCTCATGTCCATCCTCCTAATGCCCCTCCTGTTGCTCCTCCTCGTCCTCCTCAGCATCATCAGCATCATAGTCAACAGCATCATCATCATCTTCATCATCATCATCAGCATCATCATCATCTTCATCTTCATCTGCATCAGCATCATCAGCAGCATCATCACCATCATCATCAGCAGACGTAGATCCTTCCAATGTGTTTCTCTCTCCTCAGCCTCCTCCGCTTTCTCCTCCTCCGTCCCCTTCCCTCCTCGGGTTTGGTGTGCTCCTTGCACCCGCGGTGCACCGCAGCTCGTGGGACCCAGCGGGGGGCGAGATTGAATCAATCCGCCGCCCTTCCCATCATCATCATCATCATCATCATCAGCATCATCATCATGAGCATGAGCATCATCATCATCAGCATCAGCATCAGCAGCAGCATCGTCATGGCCATCATCACCAGAATCCGAATCATAAGTACCATCAGAAGCAACAGCAGCATCATCAGCAGCAGCAACAGCAGTATCATCAGCATCAGCATGATCAGCACCATCGTCGTCATCAGCAGCATCAGCAGCATCAGCAGCATCAGCATCAGCATCATCATATCAGCCAGCGTTGACTCCAAATAGAAAGGAGGACAGAAGGAGGACGAGAGGAGGATGGGAGGAGGACGAAAGGACGACGGGAGGAGGGCGGGAGGAGCAAAATCAAGCAAGTGCAAGCAAGCAAGCGGAAACAAGCAAGGGCAAGCGAGTAATAACAAGCAAGCAAGAGCCAGCGATCAAGTGCAAGCAAGCAAGAGCAAGCAAGAGCAAGCAAAGGATAGCAAGCGCGCAAGAGCAAGCAAGCAAGAGCACACAAGAGGAAGCAAGGGCAGGCGACCCATAGGAATCCATAGGAATCCATAGGACTCGCCATTGGAAATAGCTGAAGGGTGCCAGTGGAAATAAGAGTGGGTTCCATTGGCAAAAGGCGAGGGGGGAGGGGGGTGCCATTGGAAATAAGGGGGGGTGCCATTGGAACAAGGGGTTGGGGGTGCTAAAGACCAATTACGTATGATGAGCTAGGACTCCTTTAGGGCAAGCCTATTTGGATGATCATCATCATCATCATCACAGTCATCATCATCATCATCATCATCATCATCATCATCATCATCATCACCACCACCACCATCAGCATCACCACCATCAGCATCGTCATAATCAGTATCACCAGCATGGTCGACATCGTCGCCATAAACATGAGATCATCAACTCCCGCCCCCTCCTACTCACCTTCACACTCCTCATCACAGTCATCAGCTTCATGCTTGTAGCTTTCTTTCCCAAAAAAACTCAGCCTCAGGGTTTCCATTTGTCCGTGAAGGAACTGGTGTGTGCTTGACGCGGTCGCGCCCAGGTTCCCCGGGTTCTTCCGCGTTGTGTCTTCACGCGGGGGTGCCCTGGGGTTCCTCGGTCTTGTTTCCTTGCAAGACCATGCCCGAGTTCCTCAGTATTGGATATTTGGTCCTGGCTCCTTAGCTCCCTGGCCTTGGTTCCCTGGTTCCTTGGTCTTGGTTCCTTGATTCCTTCGTCTTGGCTCCTTGGTTCCTTGGTCTCGGTGACTTGGTTTTGATTCCTTGGTCCTGGCTCCTCAGGTCCTTGGTCATGGCTCCTGGGTTCCTTGTTCTTAGTTCCTTGGTTCATTGGTTTTGGTTCCTTGGTTCCATGGTACTGGTTCTCGGCTCCTTGGTCGTTGATGCTTAGTCTTACTTATTCAGTCATTTGTACCTTGCTCTTGGTTCCAAGGTTACTTGGTCTCGGTTCTGTGGTTCCTCGTTCTTAGCTCCTAGGATCCCTTCTCTTGGTTTCTTACTGATCGACTCATGCTTACTTGGGAGCGGCCTTCTGAGTGGGGTCGTGGCGGGATTATATCTAAATATATATATATATATATGTATATATATATATATAGATTTCCGTGTATGTATCTATTTATATGTATATGCATATATATAGATGCATCCGTATGCATCTGGCCATATCGTCATACCCATGTTCATGCTCAGATTCATAGTCATGTCCATAGTCACTGTCAGGTTCACATGTACATTCATACGTTGTCGTCCTCGTCCTCGTCCCCCTCCTCCCCCCCCCCACACACACCCTTCAACGCCTCCTCGCTATCATCGTCCGTGTCCTCCTGGCACGCGTGCGCATCATTATCACCACTGTGATCACCATCAATCGCATCAGTATCGTAATCAACATTCATCATGTGCCTTGTACTCCTCCCCCTCCCTCCTTCTCCCCCACCCCCATCGGGCCCTTCGCTGTCGTGTTTCGCGTTGCGGTTGTTCTGCCCGCCCCACTCGGCCCCTCGCTCGCTCGCAGGCCCGTCTCCTGCTGCCTGTGTCATGTTCTTGGTGTTTGGTCTGCGGGCCCAGGCCGATCCGCAGTCCACAATCCACAATTCCCCTCCCTCCGCGCTGCCATGAAGGGGATGAAGTTCGCCAAGTACGCCCCTGTGACCCACTCGCAGATGCTCCTGACACATGCGGACAACCTCCCTCCCCCTCAGGTTGTGGCGCTCTTCCCCGTCATCCTCGCTTTCCACGTGACAGCCCAAGCGACAGCCCAGGGGACGACCACGGGCCCTTTCACGAGACAGCCCACTGGGACAACCCACCGGGACAACCCACAGGGAAAGACGCAAGCGACAGCCCAGCGGAAAACCACGGACAGCCCTCCCCAGCGCCTTATTTCAGCGCGGACCACTTGGCTACAGCTGTATAGAGTTTTGTCAGAAGAGGCGCCTTGTCCAGACGTGCTGGACCCGAAGGACAACGCTTCTAAGCCTCATCAAATGATGGTCAGCCCCTCTGGCGCCTTCATTGGTTGGCCGTGCCCCACTGCCCTCCTCCTCCTCCTCCTCCTCCTCCTCCTCCTCCTCCTCCTCCTCCCCTTCCTCCTCCCCCTCCCCCTCCGCCAAGAGGAGGAGGAGGGAGGAGGAGGAGGAGGCGGAGGAGGAAGACCAGTGTAAACCCAAGAGTCACCAACGATGTTGGAATAAACCCTCCCACCAAGATCCCTCTTCACAGGCCCCTACAACGGTGCATTTCCACTGAGGGAACTGCCTCGTTGGAAGACAACCGTTTGAAGACCCTGAAGCATGCCAAAGCATTGTTCTCGGGATTCCAACGCCACGGATCAGCCTTACTGTTGCGTGTTGACGATCCTGAATCGCGCCAGAACGCCATTCCTCGGACTTCAACACCGCGAACCAACGTAACTGTGGCACCCTCATAATCCTGAATCCGTGCAGAACACCGTTTCTGGTACGCTGGTCATGGGAATCCGTGATATTGCTGTAACTGTTTAGGACGAATGTGCGCGGCGCTGAGGCGAGAGCCACAAGTTGACTGGAACCGCCCTCGATCCGTGAAACTCTTGCAATGTTTGAAAGCGAACGTGCGCGGCGCTAATGCGAGAGCCACATTCTGAAAACGACCCGCCTTCAATGTGTGAAACTCTTGAATGTTTCGAAAACGAATGTGCGCGGCGCTAAGGCGAGAGCCAGATTTTGAAAACCACCCGCCCTCAATCCGTTTAACCCTTGCAACCTTTTCAAACGAATGTGCGCGGCGCTATTGCGAGAGCCACATGTTGAAAACCACCCGCCCTCAATCCGTGAAACTGTTGCCATTATTTTAAGGCTTTTAAGATCCAGGGTCATCAATGATGAGGAAGTCTCAGGCGAAACGCCCGGCCCGCCCCGAGAGCTGGCCTCGGGGTGCGACAGGGAGAAGTTCTTCATAAGGAAAAGGAATGGAGGAGGAGGAGGAGGAAGAGGAGGAGGAGGAAGAGGAGGAGCAGCAGCAGCAGCAGGAGCGCCTCCACCCCCGCACTTGCCCCGCTCGCCCCAGGCTTCGGGGCCATCGTCGGCCTCGGCCCGATCCCCGCGGACGCCACCGTCCTGCGCCCACACGGCGCGGAGGACCCTCCCCCCTGCCTCCCACGGGTGGCCAGCACGAGCTGGGTGACGAGGATCGGCAGCGGGCGCGGGGGGGGAAGTGAGAAGGAGGAGGCCCTCTCAGAAGGCGGCGGGGCTCCTCAGAAGCCTGCGCGCCTTCTGGGCAGCGTTCCGCGTCTCCGGAGACGGCGCAGAGAACCTCCCAGAAGGCCGGGGGACTTCCTGGCCTTCTGAGAGGGCCCGCCCCTCTCGCTTCCCCCCGGGCTGGCCGCCGAGATGAGAAGACGAAGAGCCGAAGACAGAAATCAGAAGAAGAAGAAGAAGCAAAAGGAGGCGGTTGAGGAGGCGAGGAGGAGGGAAGCTGGAATCGGCTGGAATCGAAGAAGGCAAGGAGGAGGAGGAGGAGGAGGAAGAGGAGGAGGAGGGATGCTGGAGTCCTGGAGGGCTGGGCGCCCTCGCGTCCCCCGACGGTTGCCCTCCCGAGCGGCTCCGGCGCTGCCTGGGCAGTCCCTTCCTGCACGCCCCCGCGTGCGTGTCGTTGCGGGGGCGTGCTTTTCGAGCGGGCGGAGGGGTGCCTCGAGATGGCTTGCGGTCGAGGATCGGGAGCCTCGAGACGGGGGTCAATGCAAACGGGGGTCAGCCAGGGCACCGGATCCTGGAGGATCCTGCGAAGACCCCATCTGGCTGACACGGGTTAGCGAGCCGCGAGGCGGCCGCGCATATTGGTTGACCTGGGTTTGCGAAGACATGCGTTGCAGTTTTTGTCCATGCATTGCAGTTTTTTGGTTTCCTGCTGACCCGGATCTGGGTTGACCCGGGTCAGAAGATCCACTAGAGGAGTGGCTCGGTCTCCGTCCCCAGAGATCTCTCGCTCAGTGCCTCGGAAGCACCCCGCGCTCCGCGTCCAGATGTTAGATGCGAGACCCCAGGTGGCCTTTTCGGAAGGCTATGAGTCTCCCTCCCCCCCATCCCCCTCAAACGTTTGACAGGTCTGCCTCATGTGATCACGCGTCCTGCCTATCATAATTCTGCGGGTCTTGCTATCCCTCTGGGCGGCGATGAGAACAACAAGTCGTTCGCGCTGCTGATGCGGAAGCTCGGGGCTGACAGGTGGGGCGTTTGCATTGCTCGCCTCCTCTCAGCAGTCTCGCCTTCTCTACCCAATGGTGGTGATGTCCTACAGAGGGCGGTGTCAGCCTGAGTGGCTCAGTGACTAGCTGGCTGCCTACCTGCCTCTCTGGATTATCACCTGATGGACTGACTGAGGGACTCCTCGATTGATCGGATGCTAGGTTCATGGATGATTATAGGGGAACAAAAAGTGACATATACATAATAGCTCGGAGGTCCGCGCAAATTCCTCGGATCGGCGATGGGGCCCCCCGGTGGCGCCTCCGGCGCCGCTCCTGGAGCGCTCCGCGCGCCAGGCAGTGGGGTCCAGCGCCGATCCGAGAAATCCGCGCGGACCTCCGAGTTTTTATGTTTATGTCACTTTTTATTCACCTAGAGTAGTTGGACAGATGGGTGTGGGTGGGTGGGTGGCTGGATGGACAGATTATGGATTGAACGCTGTCGACAGAGCGAATGATAAGACTGGTCCCAGCACTGGTAGTAAGAGCGGAGAGCGGTACCTGCAATGCTGTCACTCTTGCAGTGTCGAGCAGCACGTGGTGTCCATTCGGCACCATTCTTGTGGTCGGGCGCCCGTCTTCAACACGGCACTCGTTGTTGTTCCTCTCAACGTGCCTCCCTCCTCCTTTCCCCTCGCCGTCTCCCGTGCCCTCTCCTCTCGTCTCACCTCGCCTCCTCGCGTCCCCTTTTCCCTCTCTCTCTCTCTCTCTTTCTCTCTTTCTCTCTTTCTCTCTCTCTCTCTCTCTCTCTCTTTCTCTCCCTCTCTCTCTCTTTCTCTCTTTCTCTCTCTCTCTCTATCCCTCTCTCTCGATATAAATATATATATATATATATATATATATACATTTGTGTATATATATACACACATGTAGGTACATGTGTTCATTCGTTTATACATAACTATATATATATATATATACACAGGTACATATGTATATATATATATATATTATCCGCCTCGCCCGTGCGCGTCGGGTGCTGACTGCAGAGCGCGACGAGAACGCGCAGCTGCCGCCACGTCCCCGCCTCCCGAGGGGTGGGGGCGGTCTAGCGGAGCGCCTCACCGCGCGGGGCCGAGGGGGATCTCGCATCATCCCGGAGTGGCGTGTGCGGTGAGCACACGCCGCAAGTGTAGCCGCCTCCCCGGGGGAGGGTCCGGCGAAGTGACCCGCAGCCCTGGCCCAAGAGATGCCTCCCCCCCCCGTAAGCAGACTCTTCCCTTCCCGTTTTGATGTTCTCTTCGCCCCCTGGTGGAGGGTCGAGGCCCATTCGTTCCATCAGTCAGAGCTCGGCGAGAGCTTCAAGACGGCGGCACTACTGCGCCGATCGGCCCACTGTGGGCTACACTCTGGCTGCGGAACCGGTTCGACAGAATGGCAAGGGTCGACGAGACGTAAGAGTGACGTTTCGCCGGAGTGACCTTGGTGCGGGCCCAATGGGGTCCCCCGATCGCCGAGTGCGACGCGACAGTTGCGTCTTGCGCGCATGGGTTTGGCCACCCCGCGGCTCCCCTAAAGCCGTGCACCAGAGGTCACTCATTCCCATGGTCCCCCTTGCGGTCTTGCGTATAGCCGAGAGGATATACGAACCACCCCCTGCCCCCTCCGGGCGCGGAGCTGGCGCTGGTGCGCGCGCCGCCGCTCCCCCGCACCCCCGCGAGAGAGCCCTGCGGAGCGCCGCACCGCTCGGGCCAGGCCGGGCCTCGACCCCCTCCCCCCCCGCCCCGCCCCCGCCCCCCCCCTCGAGCTCGGCGAGAGCGCGCGGCCCTCGCGTCTCTTCGCCGCTCACCCGCGCCTCCCATTCTGAGAGATTTGACAAGTCTTACCAGTTTGAAACATATCCCTATCCCTATGTTTGGCATCACCTCACCTCGATGCCGATCTTAAGGATTCCCTCAGTTTCTGAGGGCCTATCCCTACGATTGTCCTCGCTTTTTGCTCGCCCATCTTAGGGATAGGGATAAGTTCGAGGCTGGTTAAAGTCGTTTAAACATCCAAGGTTCTTACCCCGAATATCGGATCACGCTGCGCTCGCTGGTAAAAGCTTCAGGGCTGTAGCTGCAAGATTTCTATCGACTCGCTTCCCGGGGCCGACCTACGAAAATACGATGCTGAAAAAATATAGTTCGTTCTAACAGAACTTGATATTTAGGTCAGCTACAGAGCTTGAATGTGCACGGAGAGCCTCAGCAGCGTTAGAAGTTCCAGTCTAGAGGATCGGGACGCCTGGAATCCGCTTTTTGTGGCGCGGTCCGAGCAGGCTTCCGAGGCGAACCCAGCCGTGGCGGCGAGGGATGGGCAACTAGCGGTGTCCGCAACTCTTCTTCCGGCCCCTCCAGGCAGGCGGAGCGGCTCCCGGAGTCGCCCCCGGCGGCGGCTCCGCCGCCGACAACGGCGCAGGCGGCGGAGCCGGCGCCAGAGGTGTCCTCGGCCTCGGGAGGTCTCAGCCACGCGCAGAGGGGGGTGGGGGGAGGGGGGAGGGCTTCTTAGAAGCACCCCTGCTTCTTAGAAGGCGCGGGCCTTAACTATAGATGTAAGGTGCGCGCCGCCAAAGGTCCCTGGATGGCCCCCACGGCCTCTGCCGAGCACCCCCGGCGAGGCCCAGAGGGCCGCAGAGGCGCGCCAGAGCGGCAGGAACGGCCGAGGACCCCCTCCGGCCAGGGGCCCCTCTGACGGTCCCCGACCCGCTGCCCCCCAGAGCGCGCCCTGCCTGCGCGAGAGGGAGTGCACGCCGCAAGCACCACGGGGCTCTCGCAGGCCCGTCCCGGGCGGCCTTGGCGCCCGTGGCTCCCAGGCTTGGCCCGGCGCCGGAGGACAAGCAGGACCCGAGCCCCGGGCCACACGGGGCCTGTGAAGGCTTACGGGTGACGCATTCGAGCCCCGGGCCCGGAGCTCTCGACCACCTACCTCTCCGGGGCCTGCGTGCCGCCCTGCAGGCTATCATTTCACGGCCCACGGGCCTACAAGCGCCTCCACCCCCACGGCGACCGTGGAGAGAACAAGTCCAGCACGACCGCTGCGAGCCGCCAGACGCCAGGTACCTCCGCAGAGGCATGCAAAGTCGGTCACCCGGGGGGGCCTGTCCCAGGGTCCGTCCTGGGTAGTTCTTCGAGCCGCGCCCAGTTGTGGCGACGACGACGGGCCCCCGGTGGCATCTGGCGCGTTCCCGGCTACACAGCAGACGATGGGCCAAATCCTGCAACCGCCGCCTGGGGATCACGGTCCTATACAGCCAAGACGCTGAAGTAAGGACCACTTTGGGCTCAGGAGGGCTCTGGTTTGCGGGCGCTCCTCAGAGCTACGACAGTCGGGGATCCTACTCTTGGCATGGGCTCGCCGTGGCCAGAAAGGCCCCGTCGGCTCGCCATGGCCAGAGAAGCCCCGTCGTTCCCTGTCTAGCGTTCTTCATGGTAACACGATGGCTGTAGGACCCCCCCCCCCCAGCCAGCCGATAGGCAAGGATTCAAAGCAACCAGAAGGAATGGGCGGGGAGGTGCCAGATGTCTCCTTGGCCGGCTTGGGCGCCTTTGGGGGGACCTGGGGGGCCTTGTTGGGGCCCGCCTGGGGGCCGCCTTGGGGCGGTCTTGGGGGCTTCTTGGGCCGTCCTGGAGCGTCCTGAGCTCGAAACGTCGAGGACCTCAAACTCATTGAACAACGTAGGACAACTTCTCTTAGCAAAGCGCCCAACGATCTGTAGCTGTGGGTACCGCAGTGGTGCGTAGGTGGAGCTCCCTCTGGGGCCGCGAAGCGTGTAAGGGGTGTGCCGAAATGGGCGGCGGGGACGCATATGGTCGACGGCCGCCGAAGGCGACCAAGGTCCGCCGAGGGCTGCCTGGGGGCTCCTTCAGGCGGCCTGGGGGTGCTCCGAGGGCCGCCGAGGCTGCCGAAGCCCCCCGATGGATGGCCGTAGAGCGCCGCCGAGGGCCGCCGATGGGCGGCCGAGGGCCGCCCGGTGCCCCCGACAGCCGCCGATATGACTGATTTGGGCTGTGTCGATGCGCGGCCCCAGAGGTCCCGCCCACTTCCCCCACCCCTAGGCCTCCAGGGTCGGAGTAGACGGGGTCGGAGGATCGCGCCGCATCGCCGCCGCATCGGCGATGCGGCTTGATGCGGAGCTCGGTTTGCTTCACGTCGACGGCGCCGATGCATCGCCAAAGTCACCAATGCATCGCATGCTGTATCGGCAATGCGGCGCGATCCTTCGACCCCATCTACTCGGACCCCAGCTAGGAGGCCTCTGGTTCGTGGCCCCAGAGCAGTTTTTGATAGCCCCCGGGCCCGGGAACGACCCCCAGGGGCCAAAGTCGAGGGAAAAACACCCGGAGTGAAGAAGGCATCGTCGGAGACCTGGGATGGCCGCCGAAAGCCACCGAGGGCCGCCCGGGGCTCCTTCGAGCGCGGAGCGGGAGGTACTCGGTCTGCCTCGGGCGCACCCCGCTGTCGCCGGGCGTGCTGGTCTGGAACGACGGGCTCGTGGAGAGCATGCCGAGGGCCTTCACCAAGGCCCCGCGGTGCCGCAGGGGGGTTGGCCCAACAGGGGGTCCAGCGGCAAGGGGGTGGTGCAATAGACTTGGTGCAATAGATCTGCGGGGTTGCAACACAGATGGGGTGTGCAATACATGTCGGGGCGCAAGTGTATTGCTGCACTTCCGCGTGCAACGCATCACTTGCAATACAATGCGATAACAACTCTCCGGCGCAGTACATTTTCAATGCAATTGCCCCAAAGATATTGCACCCCCCCCCCTCAGCTGGACTCCCTCTTGGATCACCCAAACGCAGGGGCGGGAGGCGGAGGGGGGAGAGGGGGCTTATGATGTCCCAACCGACTTTAGCCTTGATCACCAGAAAGACTTTCGATTAGCGAAGCTGCAGGGTTTTCACGTGTCGGGCCCTGGGAAGCGATACTCTGTCGACACTGTTTCGGAACTTCTCTGGGTGCTCGAAATTATTTCTGGGATCTGGTCCTTAAGTACGATGGGAGCAACATAAGTGGAGGCGCCAATTAGGCGTGCAAAAGCCGACTCGGGATGAAAAACCAGGCCCTGGGGAAGGGGTCGGGAGTTCTGGGGACCGCGTACGGTAGGTTCATGCTGCGATGGCGCGCCGGCGACGCCAGCGAAGGCGTTCAAGGTTGAATTCTGCGACGCGGATGCACCGAGGGACACGGTAACGCTATTAGACCTGACTGAATTCAATGTTGAGCGATCGGGGCCGGCATCGATTCAAGGGTGAGCCATCGACGCGGTGTCAAAAACGTCTGCCCGCGCCGACGCCGCACGAACCTACTGCATAGAAGAAAGAAGACCTTGCATGTCCTGTTTTCTCTTCTCGCTGGTCGCGCTCCGTCTGCTCGCTGCTGTCTCTCGCCGCCCGTCCCGGTTGCCCCCGTTTGTCTCCGGGCGCTGCAACATACGTGCCCTCTCTGGCAGTGGACACCGCCGAGGTGCTGCGCAGTGGGCTGCCGGGCAGAGGAGGACCCTGAGATCTGGGCGTTGCAAGTTCGGCCAGGCGCACGAGTGACCGTTCGCCGGAGCGACCTGTGTGTGCGGGCCAAATGGGGCCCCCCCGATCTCCGAACGCGAGGCGGCAGTGGCGTTTTGCGCGCTTGTGTTTGGCCCCCCCCGCGGCACCCCAAACGCCTCGCACCAAAGGTCACTCTTACCCAGGGTCATTCTTGCGTGTAACCGACAATTGTTTCACACCCGAAGTGTTCGCTCGGTTTCGGGCCCCAGGACCATCACAGGTCGATCCGGCCCGCCAAATGCCACAAAAAGATGGGGTCTAGGGCTCCAGTCGCGATTTCTTGCGATGTTGTCGTGTGTTTCGTGACGTCGGATTTCAGAGAGGAGGTGTCAGCGCCACCCCAGGGTTCCCTTCTGACCCCGTCCCGCGTCCGAACCCAGGAATGCCGCCCACGTTCCGCTGTCGAGTGGAGCCAACTTCCCTCCGCCCTGCTAGAACTGAGCCTGTTCGCTGGCCACTCGGCGGCCGAACGGGCTCAGACGCCGACCGGGCTCGGAAGGGAATCCTGAGGTCCTCCCCCTCCTCCTCTTCCTCCGCCTCTTCCTTCTCGGGGCTGGCATGGGACCAAAATTTCCGACGCCGCAATGTGTCCGTGGCATGGGCCCACCTGGGCACCGAGACGGGTACCCAGTGATGGGTGATTCGGCAGCGCGCCGGCAGGTGGCAGGAAAGCGGCAGGACCTGAGCGCATGGGCTTGGCCCCACCGTGGCCCCCTGAAGCCGTGCGCCGAAGGTCACTCTTACCTAGGGTCACTCTTGCCGAGGCGCCGGAGTTGCGACCCGAGGGGATCAATCCTCAAGGATCGAGGCTTTCGGGAGTCTTTCGCACTTTCTGCGTCTCCGTGGGCCTCCAGGGAGGAGGCGCCCCAGATGGCTCCGAGGACCCCCCAGGTGGTCCCCCCGGATCCAGGCCTTGGACGTCGTGAGTTGCGTTCGATGCTGGCGTTTTCGGGCCCGGGGCCATCAGAAAGCGATCTGGGACGAGATCTGCCCCGGAGAGGGCACTGGTCGGGGGTTCGATTCCCGGTTGGGGCATTTTGTTGTGCGAAATTTGTGGTCGGTGGGTTCGAATCTTGGATGGGGCACTTGTTGATTTCGGGCCGATCAATGTCAAAAGAAGTGGGAGGCCGGGGACCGCGGGCTCCAAAAGAAAAAAAAAAAAAAAGGGAGGGCCCTCGAGGGCGCGAAGTTCTTCGCGCTTCGCGCTTCGGCTCCGATTCCTCCTCTTCCTCCTCTTCTCCCCTGGCAGGCGGCGCGAGAGCGCGAAGTGATTCGCGCTTCGCGCTCTCGCGCAGCGCGAAGCGCAGAGCTGGGAGCCCTTGGAGAACGGGGGGCCACGGGCTCCAAAAGAAAACGATAGGAGAGGAGGAGGAGGAGGAGGAGGAGGAGGAGGAGGAGGAGAGCGAGGAGGAGGAGGGCGAGGAGGAGGAGGGCGAGGAGGAGGAGGAGGAGGAGGCGGAGGCGCTTGGCAGGAGACCAGGGGGAGCAGCAGGCACGCCAGGTATGAGTCTTGAGTCGGACATGTCCCTCTACAGGGGGAATCTCCAAACATAGTCTTTGCTTTCGAGAAATTATTATTCGGGAAAAAATATGGGGGCTATGCTTTGACTATGTTTGAGTTTGCTTGGATACATGTTTTTGGGCATTGTTCTATTTGTCGTCCCAAATCGGCCTGTATAGGGGGACACGCCCGGCCTAGTACTAGTGCAGAGCAGCCCGCGGAGGGGGCATGCTGCTTTCTCCGATGGGGAGGGTTACGGCGTTGAGTAGGGCCGAGGGTCAGAGAGCGCCTTCCTCCGCATGACCAAAAATGTGACGTGAAGGTTGTCAAACGCCTCGCCAGTTAAGCCGACGAAGATGTGCAAAATCCAACCAGTCGCTTATGCACAAAGTTTCGGCTTGACGCCGGGTGTGGTGCATCAATCTCAGCTTGACCGAACAGGTCGGTTGCGCCCCTTGACGTCCGTCTTGGGTGTTCTGTAGACCTGACCCCCCAGCCCTACTCAAGGATTACACATGGCATCTTCATTATGAGCACACGTATTTGTTGACCAGGGCCGAACTACGCGCTGGCTCGCTAATCATTCAGAGGCTAGTCTTGACGCATTGGGAGTGGTTTCGTTGTCATTTATGCCCTTGCGTTCCTTCTCCGCTCCTCCCGTCTTCGGCCAGTTTCCTCTATCCGCCGTCATTGTCATTGGCGTCGCCGCTCCTGTCGTTGTTATCATTATCATCCTCATCCAGCCCGCTTCTCCTCCATCCTACCTCTTCTTCCGACCCCCCCCCCTCGCCCCGTCGAGGTGACTACCGTGGAGGGCGGCTTCTGGCTGACGTCTCTGACAGACGTCCGCTTCGGATCCACGCCGGTGGCGGGGTGATGGAAGGGGCAAAGAGAGATCACTCGAAGGGCGGCCGTGCACGTATCGACCGCCGCCACCGCTCGCCGAGGCGCGAGCGCAGTGCCTCTGCGGCGAGCACTGGCCGAGCTGTTGCGCTGGCATGCTGGTGCGCACCCACGACGCGTGTCGATGCGTCACGTCTTCTGGTAGGGCTTACCCTCGGCCCATGTGGGGTGTTCCAGAAAGGTCTTGCCTTCGAGGATCGAAGGAGCTGTTATCTCTTCCGCGCAGGAAATGGGCGGAAGCTCTCCGCCGGCGGAAGGGCGGCGGAAGTAGAAGACGCGCCCCCAAGAAATGAACACGTGCTTGGGTTCATGGTTTCCGAGATCGGCCACTTGACAGTCCCTCTGATCTCGGCGTCCCAGAGGGAGGTGGAGGGAGTATCTCCCAGCGAGGTGGCATGCTGAGGCCACGGGGGCAGCCCCTTTCAGCAGGGAGGGAGGGAGGAAGGGAGGGAGAGGAGGGGAGGGAGGGAGGAGTTGGAGGAGGTAGGGAGAAAGGAGGAGGGAGGGAGGAGGAGGGAGGGATGGAGGAGGAGGAGGAGGAGGGAGGAGGAGGGAGGGAGGGGCAAGGGGCCAGGAGGGGCAGCAGCCTCGGGCGGCGACGGGGGAGCCGAGAGGACAGGGCCTCATCCGCCCTCGTGGGAGGTGGCCTGCTTCGAGCCGGGCTCGTGCGGTGCCATACTGGACAGCGGCACATCGCTGATCTCGACGCCAGAGGAGCCTCTGTCTGGGAGGGGGGCACCTCCTGCTGCGGCTCCTGCTGGCGTTCCCTCCCGCTCCTGCTCCCCGTCGCCCTGCTGCTGCGCCGGCTGCTCCGGCTCTGGCTGCTTCTCTCCGCAGCTTGCTCCTCCTCCTGCACCTCTTGCTGCTGCTCGTCATCCTACGCATGCTGCTCCTCCTCATCCTCATCCTCATCCTCCTCCATGCCGTTTTCCTTATGAATAGCGCCTCCCTGTTGCTCCCGAGGCCAGTCAAAAGAGAGGGCCGGGCGTGTCGCCTGAGACCTCTTTTCCATGTATGATCCTTACGCTTGACAACTAGCAACAGCTTCACGGATTGAGACGGGTGGTTTTCAATACGTGGTTCTCGCCTTAGCGCCGCACACACTCGTCTTAAATATTTGCAAGAGCTTCACGGATTAAGGGCGGGCCGTGTTCACAATGCGGCTCTCGCTGTAGCTCCGCGCACAATCGCTTCGAAAGAAAACCTGCAAGAGCGTCACGGGTTGGGGGCGGGCGTTTTTCAAAATGTGGTTCTCGCGTTAGCGCCGCGCACATTCGTTTCAAACATTTGCAAGAGCTTCACGGATTGAGGGCGGGCCGTTTTCAAAAGGTGATTCCCGCCTTTCAACGCCGCGCACATTCGTTTTGATAGGTTGCCAGAATTTCACGGCTTGAGTGCGGTTCTTTATCAAAGTGTGGTCTTCGCTTGTAAACGCCGCGCATACTCACTGTAAAGATTTGCAAGAGTTCCACGTGCTCCCATGGTCGACGTACCAGAAATCGTACTTCGGAGCGATTCAGGGTTGTCACGGTGCAACAGTTACGTTGACTCGCGGTGGTGGAGTCCCGCGAATGGTGTTCTAGCACGGTTCAACATCGTCAAGACGCAACAGTCAAGTTCATTCGTGGGGATGGGGTAACCAGAAGGGCTTTTGAGGATCTTTCAACGGACGTCTCCCAACGGGGCACCCCCCTCAGTGAAAAAGAATCCTTGTATAGGGCCTATGAAGAGGGAGCCTGGAGGGAGGGGTTATTCCAGCATCGTCGATGAGTCTTGGGTTTGCACTGGTCCTCCTCCTCCTCCTCCTCCTCCTCCTCCTCCTCCTCCTCCTCCTCCTCCTCATCCTCCTCGAAGCTCGAAGCTCGAGGCTCGAGGCTGAAGGCGGGCTCGGTCGATGGCTCCTCAAGCCGCCAGCCAAAAAGGAGGGAGGGGATACCCCAGGAGGCGATTCAGGCCGACTCTGGGGCGGGGACGTCACGAGCGGGAGCAAACTGGAGGACAAGAAGGGACGAGGAGGAGGATGAGGGGGAGGAGGAGGAGGAGGAGGAGGAGGAGGAGGAGGAGGAGGAGGAGGGAGGAGGAGGGAGGAGGGAGGAGGAGGAGGAGGAGAGGAGGAGGAGGAGGAGGAGGAGGAGACCGAGGAGGAGGAGGAGGAGGAGGAGACCGAGGAGGAGGAGGAGGAGGAGGAGGAGGAGGAGGAGCAGAGGAGGAACAGTGAGGAGCAGCAAGAAGCACGACGAAGGGAGGCGGGGAACGGGGGGAATGGGACACCCAAGCCCAGAGAGGCCAACGCAGCAACCCTGACAAGAGAGCGGGAGCAGGGGGAAGAGAGGAGGAGAGCGTGACGGGGGGAGGGGGGGGAGGCGTTGCCGGGTGCGCGTTGTCCCTTGGCGGGCACGTCTGGTCCGACCCCCTCGTCCCATCCCTCTCCCTCCTGGCGCGGCTGGGCTGGGCCTGCCGTCGCGGGCGGTGGCCCGGCTCCCGGGCCTCTGAGGCCCATGAATTCGTTGTTGCGCGTCTGGTGCTGCTGACGTAGCGTGTGGCTGCGGTTGTCGGTGGTGGTATTGGTGTGAGGCTCTTCTTGGCGAGGTCGCCGGGTCGCTGTAGGAAGCGGGGCGGAGGGGGTCGTCGCATGCGTGCGTCTTGGTGGCGATCCAGGAGGTGGACCCGGCCCGTGCACGGGCCGGCTGCCCATGCAGCGAAGGGTAGAGATGAATGGCGTTGCCAGGCAGGGAAGAAGACTGGGGGATCCCTGTTGCCCTGGTTGGTGGCTGTCTGGTGGTCGCGCTCGTTGGGGCGTGGGAGGAGCAGGGGGCGGTGGTCGTCAGGGTGGCCTTCGGGGATGGCACACTCACACCGTCTGTTGAGTGCTAGCCGTTGACGTTCTGGGCCCGTGGGGTGTCCCAGAGCGCTGGCCAGCCTTGCGTCGACGAATCGCACGCGCCGCATAGAGCTGCCGTCGGGAGGAGCGTCGTCGGTTGGGAGATCGTCGAGCTCGAAGCTCCGTGGGGCTTGGGCGGGGGTCCTCCCCGTGGTAATTGGGTGGTATGGGCGTTGTGGCCGCTGGGGTGGACGTCGAGGCGCGGCCGTCGGAACACGGAGCGGCGCATCCGCGAAGCGCACCCTCCGCGGCAGGGGAAAGGCAGGATCGTTCGGGGAGGGGTCCTATGGGAGTCGTGGTCATCGGATACGTCGTCGGCAACGCGCACCTGCCGGTGAAGGGGTGGGGCGTGGGGGCATAGCGTCGGTGAAGCACATCGGCATATCCACCGTGGAGAGTGGTCGAGAGGGGCCTCGACAGAACGGGTCGGGCGGGGCGTCGGGTAGCAGGTCGTGAGCGTCAGGTCGGCCGTCAGGTAAACCAGCTCCTGGAATTCCGCATCCACGTCGCAAAACTTCAGCTGCTGCTGATGGGCCATCTTGGTCCGTCGGCGCTCGCCGCGCAGCTGCTGGATCTCGGCGTCGCTGCCGCTGGTGCTGGCGTGGTCGTCGCTCGGGGCGCTGGCAGCGGCGCGGGTGACTGCGAGAAAGTATTGGGTCCAGCGTGCCTCGAGGTCCCACCAGATGAACGTCATCTGCTTGGGGGCGTCGGGCAAGGCGTGGGGTGGGACGTCGTGGATCAGGGCGTCACAAAGGCAGGGCAGGGGCAGCGGGCTGGCGTCGGGTCCGTCGAATTGGGGTGGCAGGTCGGGCGGGGCAGCGGACACGGCGTTTGGCAAGTGGGGGGGATGGGGGGGGTCGTCGAGAGGGTCGTCGTCCTCGTCCTCGTCTCGCTGAAGTTGTGCTGTTCGTGTCCGCCACGAACAGGCTGCTGCCCAACGTGGTCGTAGAGGCCGTCGGGTCGGCCTTCGGTTGCGCCCTCCCCATGACTGCTCCCAGCCCCTCCACGACGCCCCACCACGAAGACCCGACACCTTGCCCGAGTCTCCACCCGACGCCCTGCCCGACGCCCCACCCCACTCCTCACCCGACGCCTCGCCCAACGGCCGCCACACGCCCGACTTCTTAGCGGGACTACATCGGCTACGCGGTCAGCGCTACCTACACGGACGGCTAGACGGCCCACAGGACAGACGATTTGACAGCCGACCTTGCGGCCGACCCGACGCCACCCCTGGACGCCGTCCTCACGGAGGCCCCCTCCACCAACCCCGAGGCTCTCCCGACGGTTCCCCCGACGACAAAGATGACGCCCGCCGCGACGGTGACGACGACCACGACGAAGCCTGCGCCGACGGACAACCCGAAGCCTGCGCTCACGACACCACAACAGCAACAACGACGACGCCCATCTCCACGACGACGCGTCTCCCCACAACGACGCCCCTCCCTACGAACGCCATACCCGACGCCCCGCTCTCCCAAGACGCCTCTCATCGACGACTCGCCGCCCTTCCTGACACCCTCACCGAGCCCCCACCCGACGCCCTACCCGACGCACACCCCGCGCCCGACTTCTTACTGGGACTACCTCGGCTGGGCGGCCAGCGGTACCTATACGGACGTCTAGAAGGCCCACAGGACGGACGACCCGACCCTTGGCCCTTGACCCCGCAGCCGACTCGACGCCACCCCTGACCGCCGATCCACGAATTGGACGCGACCGGACGACGCAACCGACGGCCGACCCACCGGCCAACCCAACAGCCTCCACGACGCTCAGACGACTCTTGGCTCGACGGCCAGCCCTACCTCCGAGCCGACGGCGCACCACGCCGCCGACCCGAGGGCGCAACCGAAGGCCGACCTGACGGCCAGCCCGACGGCCTCTGACGACAGCATTGGGCCGTCGGCCATGGGGCGGGGGGTCAGGGCAGGGGTCGGGCAGGGCGTCGTGTCGTCGTGGTCGGGCGTCGCGGGAGGGCCGGGGGCAGTCGTGGGAGCCGCCGTGGGGTACCGTCGTGGGTGGGGGGCAGTGCGTGGTGGGGGGCCGCGGTGTGGGGGTCTTGCGGGCCGTCGGGGTCGGGTGGGGGGCCGTGGGGGCCGTCCTGAGGGCAGCCGCTCGTCCTCCTCCTCCTCCTCCTCCTCCTCCTCCTCCTCCTCCTCCTCCTCCTCCGCCTCCTCCTCCTCCTCCTCCTCCTCCTCCTCCTCCTCCTCTCCTCCTCCCTCCTCCTCCTCTCCTCCTCCTCCTCCTCCTCCTCCTCCTCCTCATCATCAGCAGCAGTAGCATCAGCATCAGCATCGTCATCATCAGCATCATCATCAGCAGCAGCAGCATCATCATCAGCAGCAGCATCATCATCGGCATCGTCATCATCAGCAGCAGCATCATCAGCAGCAGCATCGTCATCACCATCCGCATCAACAGCATCATCATCATCATCAGCAGCAGCATCATCAGCATTACCATCCGCATTTGCATCAGCCCCAGCATCATTATCAGCATCAGCATAATCAGCAGCATCATCATCGGCAGCAGCATCAGCATCAGCATTAGCAGCATCATCAGCAGCATCAGCCTCCTTACCAGCGGCATCAGGACCAGGACCAGGATCATCATCATCATCATCATCATCATCATCATCATCATCAGCAGCAGCAGCAGCAGCATCATCATCCTTGTCCTTGTCCTTGTCCTTGTCATTGTCCTTGTCCTCCTCCACCTCCTCCTGCTCCTCCTCCTCCTCCTGCCCCTCCTCCTCCTCATCCTCATCCTCATCCTCATCCTCATCATAGCTCCTCCCTGTCGCACCCCCAGACGGGCCGGTAGGGCGAGCTGGGCGTTTCGCCTGAGACTTCTGCACAATAAATGATCCTGCACCTTGAATTCTGTAACAGCGTCAAAGATGGAGGGCGGGTGGTTTTCAACATGTGGTTATCGTTTCAGCGCCGCGCACGTTCGCCCTAAAGGTTTGCAACCGCTTTGAGTTAGGATGGAGGGTGGGTGGCTTTCAAGATGTAACTCTCGCCTTAGCGCCGCGCATATTCGTCTTAAACGTTGGTTAGCAGATTTGAAGATGGAGGGCGGGTCCGTTTCAAAATGTGGCTCTCGCGGTAGCACCGCGCACATTCGTTTTAAAAGTTTGCAACAGCTTCGAAAATGGAGGACGTGTCCTATTTTAAATGTGGCTCTCGCCTTGGCGCCGCGCGCATTCGTTTTATTGCAGCAGTTTCAAGGACTCGCAGGGTTGAAGTCCCAGGACTCGCGTTCTGGCACGATGTAGGGTTGCCAGGACGCAACGGCCACGTTGATTCGCGGTGGTGAAGTACCAGGATCGGCTTTCCGCCGAGATTTCGGACAGTCAGGACACGCCTGTCAGGTTGATTTGCGGCGTTGCAGTCATCTGTTTCGCCGCGGTTCAGGATTCCCAGACGGTTCTTTTTGAACAGGGACATTTCCCGCAATGAAAATTGATTCTTGTCGGGACCTATGAACAGGGCATTTGGAGGGAGATTTGATTGCAACATCGTCGATGCGTCTTGGATTTTCACTCCTCCTCCTCCTCCTCCACCTCCTCCTCCTCCTCCTCCTCCTCCTCCTCCTCCTCCTCCTCCTCCTCCTCCTCCTCCTCCCCCTCCCCTCCTCCTCCTCCTCCTCATCCTCACCTCCTCCTCCTCCTCCTCCTCCTCCTCCTCCTCCTCCTCCTCCTCCTCCTCCTCCTCCTCCTCCTCCTCCTCCTCCTCCTCCTCCTCCTCCCTCCTCGGCTGGCGAGCGCCAGAGCTGTACCCATTGTGTGCCGTCGCTCTCAGGGTGGTAAGGCGCCGCAGGACCCTGGACCCAGTGTGCCGTTGCTGCTCCCAAAGGGTGCGGTGACCACAGCGTGTGGTGAGTCAGTGGTAATTTGGAGTGACCGCACGGTTTTGGGACTCGGGTCGTTCTCCGAGGACTTCTCGGGCGACTGGGGCCTCAGAAGATCCCCAAAGCCGTGCGGTGGCGGACCGTGCGGTGAGGTCTCCTGGGATTTCGTGGTCACCGCGCGGCCTGTCACCGCACAGCCCTGGGGCTCCCACGAGTGGGCGCTTGCCCCGCATCGCCGCCGTGGAATTCTGCATCCTCGGCCGGCGAGACTGGCCCGGGGGGGGTTGGTCGCGCCAGGGGGAACCGCCAGGGTGGGTCGCGCTCCGGGGGAAGGGGTCGCAGCGACCCCCAATCGCCCCTGGATCGCCGACAGGGGCCTGGTAGCCCCCCCCCCACCTAGGAGAGTGCGAGGCCGCTGTCGGGAGGCCCATCGCCGATATGTCGGCGATGTGTCGCCGATTCCAGGTCAACGTTTCCCTCCTGGTCTGCTCTCCCAGTTGCCCACCCTCAGGGGAGGGGCGGGGGGCGAACGAGCGATGGAAGCAAGCGGGTGGTAGCTGCTTGACCGCCTCGCGCCTCGCCCTCCTCCTGCACTGGAGTTCTCTCGGAGGCCCCCAGATGCCCCTGGGCACGGGCATCCGGCGTCCTGAAAAGTCAGGGCAGCAGCGTGTCCCCGCTTACGGCTTCCAGAGCCCTTTCCAGACCTCGGGGCCGTCAAAAACGGCTCGGGAAGAAAAGCCGGCCCTCGGGAATGCCGGGGGGGGCCCGCATCGAAAACGTCAAGACATCGCACGTCTCACGAGGGAGGGTCCAGAGGGCCCTCCGGAGGCTCCCAGGGCCCTCAGGAGGTTGCTGGGTACCTCCCGTGACTTAAAGGTACCCGTCGGTCGTTGAAGGTAGGTATTTCTGACTTCCCAGATTCCATCTGCTTTGGCGCCTTCCTACTTCAATGTCCGAGTGGCTTCACCTCTTCCGTCCTCTTGCGGGGGCGGGCGAGAACCCAATCCCCAATCTGCTTCCAACACCTTTCTGCTTCATGCTTCTACTTACCCACGGATACCCAGTCTACTTCAAACGCCTTTCTGCTTCATGTTTCTACCCATTTCTTCCGACCGACGGGTACCTCTCGAGATCTCCAGGGAGGCTTGTGGCCCCGAGGGGCCAGGGGGTCATCGGAGGCTGGACTGCTACGCCACAAGAGCACAGGAACACAGGAGGAGGAGGAGGAGGAGGAGGAGGAGGAGGAGGAGGAGGAGGAGGAGGAGGGGGGAGAGGAGGAGGAGGAGGGGTGAGGAGGAGGAGGAGAGGAGGAGGAGGAGGACGAGGACGAGGAGAAGGACGAGGAGGAGGAGAGGAGGAGGAGGAGGAGGGGAGGAGGAGGAGGAGGGGGCCCTCCGAACTTGCGATGCTGTTGGCCCCCCCCCCCCCCCGCGGCCTCGACCCCCCCTTCCCCCCTGGGGGGGGCCGCTGCTCGGGCTCCGGGTGCGTGCTCGCTGGCTTCCTGCTCGCAGGAGGGACGGCCCCCCGGGGGGCCGACACGGAAGAGAGGCGCCATCCTTCGAGGCATCGAGGGAGGAGGAGGAGGAGGAGAAGGACGAGGAGGAGGGAGGAGGAGGGAGGAGGAGAGGAGGAGGAGGAGGAGGACGAGGAGGAGGACGAGGAGGAGGAGGAGGAGGAGGAGGGGAGGCCCTCCGAACTTGCGGTGCTCGCTGGCTTCTGGTTCGCAGGAGGGACGGCCCCCCGGGGGGCCGACACGGAAGAGAGGCGCCATCCTTCGAGGCATCGATCTTCGCACGCCCAGGATTAGGATGCTCCAGCTCACTTCTTGGCTTTGAGACCGCCAGAGAGAATGTCGAGTACCAAGGGAGCACCGAAACTGGAGGGTTCTCGTGTGTCGGGCCCTGGGAGGCGATCCTCGTTCGACACTTTTTCCACACTTTTCGAGGTGCTCGAAATCATTTGCGGGATCTGGTCCTTGAGTACGATAGGAGCAGCATAAGAGGAGGCGCCACTCAGACGTGCTTGCGTCGAGAAAAAACCAGACAAGGGTGGGGAGGGGGGGGGGGTTCGACCTCCAGGAGCCCTCGCTGGGCCCCTGGGCCGTCAAGAGCCGACTCGGGATGAAAAACTGGTCCCCTGGGGAAAGGGTTGGGAATTTTGGGGACCGCGTACGGTAGGTTCATGCTGCGATGGCGCACCGGCGACGCCAGCGAGGGCGTTCAAGGTTTGAATTCTGCGACGCGGATGCACCGAGGGACACGGCAGCGCAAGTACTGTCCCGCTCATGATTAAGAGACCTCCCCCCGAAAAGCTGACCCAGCGTTTCTTGACGAATTTGCTGGAAAGCTGGTTCAGCTTCTTAAGGGGCTTCATAGCCTTGGATGCTAGAAATGAATAACGTACGTTCCTGGCTCCAAAAGCTGGCCCAGCGTTTCCTTAAGAAACTTCTGGAAAGCTGGCCCAGCTTTCTTAATTGACAAGTGTCTTGATCATATGTTTGACTGTACGATGGGAGCAACGGAAGCCCAGAGGTCCAACGCATCGAAAGAGAGAGAGAGAGAGAGAAGCGCCAGCCTGCGAGACATCCATCTTCGTGCGCCCAGGGAGCCAACGCATCGAACACAAAAAAACAAATCGGGCTTGAGATCTTTCGCAGCTTCCAGCCTCCACAGGGGCCCTCGCCGGGCCCTGGGGCCGTCAGGAAACGGCTCGGGATGAAGAACTGGTCCTGGGGAACGAGTCGAGACGTCCAGGGGCCCGTCTCGGAAAACATCACGACATCGGGTGTCTGGACAGGCATCCCACGCATGAGGTCCGAGCAGCTGGGGTTGGAGGATCGCGCCGCACCGCCGAATAAATCGGCGACGCGGCTCGATGTGGGTCCCGAGCTTCCTCACGTCGATGCATCGCCGATGCGTCGCCGATGCGTCGCCGATGCATCGCCGATGCCTCGGCGATGCGGCGCAAGCCTCCGACACCACCTGCTCGGACCCCTACCTATAGGGGGCCCTCCTGCGGCGGCGGCCCTTTAAGGGGCGAGGAGAGAGGCGGAGCGCAGAGCGGCCCTTTTCCGCGGGAGAGGACGCCTTCGTCAGCATCGGCGAGCTGGTGGAGCAGCTGAGCGTCGACTGCGACAACATCGCGGAGCTCCCCGAGCTGCACTTCAAGCTCGACGGCGCCGGCCGCCCTCTCTTTGACTGGTGCGCGTGTGTGTGTGTGTGTGTGTGTTGCCTGCGTGCCGTCGTCATCCGCGCCCCCTCGAGGAGCCACGGCCCCGACCTGCGTGCGTGCTCTGACCAGGCATCCCTCGCGCCGGGCGCCCTGGCTCCTCGCAGCGGAGCGGCGCGCGGTCAGGCAGCAAGCCGTCCTCTCCCCGCCCGCGCGCTCGCGGGATGGAGGGCCGTGGACGTCTGAAATGCGGGCCAGTCTGTGGAGGCGACGTGGTCCCGGGCAGCTCACCCAGAGCGTTCAAAAGAAATGATTTGCACGCCCGAAATGGGTACTGAAAGAATGGGTACGATGCCCAACAGCAGTTCCTGTTCATTTTGAACAGGACTCGCTGTCCACGCCGCCGCGGCCTGTGTCCATTCGAGACAGGAGGTCGCCTGCCCAACAGCGGCCGCTGTTGCTTTGGGACAACATTTGTTGTTGGACATTGTACCCATTCTTTCGGTACCCATTTCGGGTGTCCAAAAATGATATCGTAGGAAGCCCCCAATCAGTGGATGGTTTGATGGGACCGATGGTGAGATCGATCGAGTGAGATGAATCATGAGGTCGACAATGCATCATGCGGGAACCCGGAACCCACCGAAGTCGGCCCAGAACCAAGAACCAGGAACCCGGGAACCCCGGGACCCCAGGCGGCTACCAACATCGGCGGGAAATGTTCGCTAAATCTCACCCGGGAACCCGGAACCGGGAACCCGGGAACCCAGCTTGCTGCCAAAATCGGAGGGAATTTTTCGCCTAATCTTTCAATTTCCGGCGGGACCCCTTCAGCGAAAACACCGATTGGGGAATAGCGATCACAATCAAAGGTTTAAGATCGTGAATTGCGGTGTTCCCTGAGATCCTACATTTCGAAATGATTGCAGCCTCGTGAAGAATCACGACCCAACCACCTGGACCCCGCTGCTCTGCGTCAGTTGTCTCGAGCCGGATCCATCTGTGATGGTCCCAGGCCCAGACAACCGGGCGAAAAAATGCCCGTTGCGAAAAAGATTCAACCACGCGCAGAGGGGGGGGGGCAAGGGGGAGGGGGGAGGCTTCTCAGAAGCGCCCCGCTGCTTAGATGGCCCGGGACTTCTCCCTGCAGATGTGGGGGCCCGCGCCCTCTCAGACGCGGCCTCCCTCCAAGAGAGGCCTTCCGCCCTCCCCCACGCTCCCCCCCTGTGCGCGCCGCCAGCCCCAGGGCTGTGCGGTGCAAGGATCGGAGGCTTTCACCGCGGTCGGCCCTTCTCGCGCCCCTCCTCCTCCTCCTCCTCCTCCTCCTCCTCCTCCTCCTCCTCCTCCTCCTCCTCCTCCTCCTCCTCCTCCTCCTCCTCCTCCTCCTCCTCCTCCTCCTCCTCCTCCTCCTCCTCCTCCTCCTCCCTCCTCCTCCTCCTCCTCCTCCCCCCGTGGGCCTCCATGTGGTGACCTCTGGAGGGTGTCTCCCGGGGGGGGGGGGTCTTCTGGGCGGGCGCGGGTGGCCACGGCTGGGAGAGCGGAGCAGAGGACGGGCCCGGACGGCCTCCGGGAGGCGCCCGAGCGAGGCGTCGACCCCGACGGGGGAGAGAGGAGGAGTGAGGAGGCCGAGGAGAGGGAAGAGGAGGGAGAGGGAGGAGGACGGAGTAGGAGGCGTTAGGAGGAGGACGGAGGAGGCAAAAAGAGGAGTTGGGAGGAGTTAGGAGGAGGACGGAGGAAGAGGAGGATTCGGCCGAAAGCCTAAGGACAGGACAGAGGACGGAGGGAGGAGGAAGAGGAGGAGGAGGAGGAGGAAGAGGAAGGAGAGGAGGAGCAGGAGGAGGAGGAGGAGCAGGAGGACGAGGAGGCGGAGGATGGAGGGAGGAAGAGGAAGAAGGAAGGAAGCAAGACGAGGTGGAGATTCCTGCTCCTCCTCCTCCTCCTATTCCTCCTCCCCCCCCCCACTCAAGCTGTACGTGTGCAAGTGCTTTACTCTGCCTGGCTCTAGACCATGTTACGACCCAGCACGGCCGGGCTGGCCGGGTCCCGCAGAAGCATCTGGACTAAACGCGGTGCGCATTTTCACGCCAAGAACTAGAAGGAAGGGCCGGAGGAGGAATAGGAGCAGGACGCAGGTGCAGAAGTGCAGGAAAAACATGAAGTACAGCATTAATTGACGCGTACTTGGCACGACCAAAGCTAAACAAAGTCCAACGGAGGACAAACCCCGCCTCCGTGAGCTCCGTGCTGCATTGGTTCGTGGGGTGGCCCTGTAGGGCCCCAGACGGTGGGGGAGTAGCCCGGGTCATGAGTGACGACCTCAAGGCACCCTTCGACGGCAGCCCGAGCGTGTCCAGCTTGACGGAAGGCGCCGGTCCAGACACTCGAAGAATAAAAAGCGACATAAACATTAATGTTTGGCGCTCAACGCGGATTTTTTGGATCCGCGCTGGGCCCCCCCGGCGGCGCCTCTGGCGCCGCCCCTGGCGCGCTCCGCGCGCCAGGGAGGGAGGTCCAGCGCAGATCCAAGAAACCCGCGCGAAGCGCCAAAAGTTTATGTTTATGCCGTTTCTCTTCTTCTAGACAAGGGTCACCGGGTTCACCCTCCCAGCCCATGATCCTCAAATGTCTTACCGGCCAGAGCCCATGGGCAAGTACACAGCGCTTGCATGAAGAACACGAGGTCATCAACAAAGGGCGCCACACGGTCCGCAATGGAGGGTGCCGCCGCACCGTGGGCCTTGCAAGCCCGAGCGCCGCGGCGAGAGTCTAGAGCAAGTGCGGCGCAAGGTTCGCATGCACCTCCAAGTATGGCACCCTGCGTGAAGCCGAAGCCCACCGCGCCACGGAGTCTGTAGTCACCGAGCTGCCTCGTGAGCCAGCGGGGGCGGCGGTCGCCAACGCGCCTGCTCGACAGGTCTGCTCCTGCAGAGGTCCTCCTTGAGCAACGAGACCTTGAGGGCGGAGAACAAGGTGGTGATGATGAAGAGGAACAAGCATTCTGTAGGTTCGCGTCGTGTCGACCGGCGGCGACCCCGCCGCGGGCGTTCAAGTTTGAACGCCATCGGTGGCCCAGAATCTGCCTACATGGAACGATCGGGCCACCGAAAAGCCGCCGATCGTCCAAGGTTTAGCGATCCACATTGTGTCAGAAACCTACGCTGGGGTCGTCACGACACGAATCTGCCGTATGCACAATGGTATCTGGAAGACCTCTACGTGGTAGGCGTTTCTTCCCTGCATCCCAGAGCGGTCAGAGCAGCCCCCCTGGGAAGCGGGTCTAGAGCATGCCGAACGATTTTTAGAATCGAGTTTCGGCGACGTTACCAAGGAAGGAGGAGGAGGCGGAGGAGTGACGGTCATTACCACGAAAAGTACCCGACTGGATCGAACTTGAGGGCATCAGCGTGCACGGCTGCGTACAAGTTCAGAAAGCAGATGTGTTCAACCTCATGCCGCACTTCGATGGCGATCTACGAGAAGCGGTTCGCGAGGCCCTCACGGGCAGATGGAATGACCACCACAGCAGCAGCAGCGACGACCACGAGGTGCTACTGGAGCCCACTGGGTTCGTACCGCACGAAGGGCCACCGAGATCATACCATGGACGGCCGAGGGGAGCCAGATCGTCAGGCAAGAACGGTACGCCCACCACGGAGAAACGATCTCATCCCCCACGCGCCCCAGAACAGGCGCCGCACCAGCAGCGCCAAGCCCACCACGATCCCACGCCTCCCCGCGCCCCACCGCCACTGGAGCAGACCCCCAACGACATGGCCACCGGGGCCGCGGGAGCTGGACATCCTCGCAGGCTTTTACCATTCAACCAGAAACACCAGCCTATATGAAGCGTTTCAAAAAGGGCCCTTGCCTTCGAGGATCGAAGGAGTTGCCATCTCTTCCGCGGCGGAAGGGAGGTGGACGGTCGGCGGAAGTAAAGATGCGCCCCCAAGACATGAAAGCGTTGTTGGGTCCGGGGTTTCCAGAATCCGCCATGTATGCCCACACCCGTGGGTCGCCCACCCTGAGGAAATCCGAAGCACGTCTTCAGCCAAGCCTACTGCTTCAACACCGAAACCTTCGAGTCATTCTGAGACGACCCCAGCAGCTACCTACTCATGCCTGGTTGGACGAGAGGCGCCCCAACGACGAACGACGAGTTCTTCTACAACGAGCAGGGGATCACCGTCCAAAACCCGCCGCTTGCGCTACGACGACTGAGACAGCCACCACCAAAGGACGCCATCACCGCCTGCCCGATCAGTGTACGTCGACATCTCTGCCAAACAAAGACGAGGCAACCAAGTACAACCAAAGCCAGGCCTTCTACAAGCGACGATTGGACGGTCCCATTAAGTCAAACGAGCTTTCTGACTTCCTGAAATGAGACCCTGCAATCGAAGCCCACATCCAAGACCTCATGGAGAACCAACACGACAGCTTCCTGCACACGGAAGGCATCGCGGTGATCATTTCCGAGATCTAGACGGCGAGCCCACCTACGGCACGATACCATTACGACAACAACCAGGCTTAAACTTTTTCGACCGAACCGACCGAACCGACACCCCACACAACGACGCCGACGCCAAGGCAGCACGAACCAGCAGCGGAAGCGAACAGCATGTAGAGGACACGAACGATTTCATCAACTTGACCGCCGACGCAGTAGGGCCCACCCCGTCGGCACCTACACCGACTCAACACAACCATCCGACACCCAACGACGCGCAAAGCAACGCCCACCCAGCTGACCCAGAAAGTACCAGTTGCATGCATCACGACGCAATCACCCGCATGGTGGCGAACAACCACGTGCCAGCTCACCCCGCTGTGACTGGGGCGGGCCTACGAAAGGATGGACACCAACAAGCACCACCGCCAAAACAACAGCTTTGGAAGGCGGTTTCAGCAAAACCTCCACCGCCACGCCACGACAATGCCAGCACGCCTCCATCACGGCCCAACTGGCCGGCGACAGGACGCTTGGCTCAAGAACCAAGCAGGTCA